GGAACAACTTCCAACACGTCATATGACGTGATGCGCACTTTAAGGATTAATGGCACGGCACTGTGGTGTAACACGAGGGATAAGAGCACATGACTTGACCAGGCTTGAACGGAAACCACGTACAAAACTCAGACAAATCATAACAGAACGGAAAGGTAATGTAAAGGGTTTGGGTGTACTGATGTCGGAAGACCTTACATTTAAAGAACACAATAAAGTAGCCGTCACAACTGCAAGAAAAATGAGAGGTTGGATAACAAGAACCTTTCACACTAGAGATGCTATTCCGATGATATTTTTCAAGATGCTAGTGCTCTCTAGACTGGAATACTGCTGCACAACGACAGCCCCTTTGAAAGCTGGAGAAATTGCTGACCTGGAGAGTGTGCAGAGATCCTTTACTGCTAGAATCCACTCAGTAAAACATCTTAACTATTGGGACCGACTAAAGAGCCTAAACCTGTATTGTCTTGAGCGCAGGCGGGAGAGATACATAATAATTTACACATGGAAAATAGTAGAGGGGCTGGTCCCAAACCTGCACACAGAAATAACAGCACATGAGACCAGAAGGCATGGCAGGGTGTGCAAAATACCCCCGTTGAAGAGCAGAGGTGCAACAGGTACTCTGAGAGAGAACTCTATCAACATCAGAAGCCCGAGACTGTTCAACACACTTCCACTACACATAAGGGGTATAACTGGCCGACCCCTCACAGTGTTCAAGAGAGAACTGGATAAACATCTTTAACTCTCAAACTGCTAGGGACCCAAATGGAATTCACACCCACAGGCGCAACAAAAAAAAAAAAAAATGCAAAAAATTCTTTCGTCTTATAGAAGTGTTCATTTTTGTTCCCTGATCACGGAAAAAATAACAAAAAAATCGTAGGTAGCATATTTTAGCCGCAATAGGGTAGGGAAGTGTGGCAAAAAAGGGGCGTTGGCAGAGCCTTCGCCAGACGAGATCTACTCCGCCCGAGCTGTCAGACGGCAATTGCCACAAATATATTATTACCTAATTATTTCAATGTCTCTGATTGATTTTTTCTTAGTTTTTTTGCAGTAATATTATTCCATACAGTGAATTGTGGTATATTTATATAATAAAATGTGTGAACCATCGCCTGTACTCAAAATTATGGTGTGCATATTAGTGATTCAATTATTATGTTCATAAAACAATAAACAAATAGTTTTGCTGTTGTTACACTATATACACAGGTTATATATAAGTATTTGCATGTTTTGTACACCATAACGAACTACTAAGTTGGTCTTGTGAGTCAAAAAGCAACGAGGAGTGATCGCCAAACACCAGCGAGCCACTCACTGCCACTCCCTCCCTCAACACCACCTCACTCACCCTCATTCACCTCCCACAATACTCTTTCTGTATTTATTCACTATACACAGACATTATATATACGTATTTACATGTTTTGTTCACCATAACTGTACATCAAAGCTTGTATGGTGAGTAAAGGCATAAAGACGTAGCTACTCACACAGTCAGCTGATCGGCGGCCGCCCTCAAGGCCAGACGCACTAATATTTGTCCTCCAACAATATTGTTTGTGGTGTTATTACGCTATATACACACATTATATATAAGTATCTACCTGTTTTATTCGCCATACCTGAACAAATAAGCTGGTATGGTGCCCAACGATCATAGGGGCCATCAGTAAACAACATGCCAAGTCGTGCAGACGACGCTCCTCCCTCACCAAAATAGCGGCTCCCAACCTACTCCTCTCGCTGTTATCTCACACTATACATAAGTTATATATAAGTATCTACATTTGTGTTCACCATGGCGAACCACTAAGCTGGTATGGTGAGTGCAGTCAATAAATGGTGACCACACACAGTCAGAAAACGACGCCACAACCCTCCCTCCCACAGCCTTACTCCTCCCTTCATGGAGCACAGCGCTAAATATCACCACAATCCTGCTATTATCAGAATCCTGGTCAGTTTTATCACAGTCAGGGGGCTTCAGTAATACTATCACTGCTAAATAATAGCAGTATCATTTATATTATGGTATTTGTAGGCGATGCTGTGGTCACAAGCTGAACAGCGGTGCTGTGAGCTCGTGCTGCGTGCGCCAGCCTTGGTGGCTTGCTCAATACTGACGCTGTAACACCCAAGAATGTTGGCCTGGATTTTTTTCTAGGTGGCATCTGGCAACTATCGGTCGTGGCTGTACTATAGCTGCCCCTATCCCAGGCGGGGCGTTTAAATTATAGCGCTAGACACGAAATCATATATAAATGATGTGCGCGGTTTCGGTTTTGTCACTGATATCATTTATATATGATATGCGCGGTTTGAGGGTTAAAGGATACCTGATCAACTAGGCTGTGACTCATACGTCAGGCCGCGAGCAGCCGCGTCCAACAGCCTGGTTGACCAGTCCAGCAACGAGGAGGCCTGGTTGACAACCAGGCCGCGGGGTCACTGAGCCCCGGAATCACCTCAAGGTAACCAGGCTTGGACGGGTCCACTTGGGGCAGGCAGGCAATGTTGCATAGGCCGCCAGGAGGAAAAAAATCACTATTTTTGAAGGAAACTTCAGCCTGTGGAAATATTTTTTAGGAAACTTGTATAGTATTTTTTTATTATATAATCACTAGTATTTCCTTTCTTTTTTGGCTATGATGAATTTTCTAAAATTTATGGTAATTCATATACTGTAGTGTATAGGTCGGTCCACATTCCCCTTATCCCCCCAGGTGGTCCCTCCCAATGCTCTCACTCTCTCCCAACATGATCCACCCACCCCACCCCCCCCTTCCTACACCACGCGCCTAGAGCCACACCGTATGAGATTAATACGGTATGGCCCGCCACCTGACTTTCGTATCTGGACAATTCACTGCTTGTCCGGCTGACTGCCCGGATAGTGCAACATTGGCAGCAAGTTAACCGGCTCAGAGTTTTTATCCGGTCAAACACCCGATTTTCCGGCTCCCATGGACATTTCGGCCGGATATTGAGATAATTTTTCTGGTCACAATTTTGGCCATATAAGGGCATTTTCCGGATATTCGAATCCCGGATAATCGAGTGTCTACAGTACTGTACGTGTTCAATATACATAGGATTGGCACGAAAAAACAAATAAAATGTATTTGGAACTGTGCAAAAAATGAACAAAAATATATTTGTGGCAACTGGTGCATCTTGAGCCAGGCGCGCTAGTGGCCCCGGGGGCATATGCCACAGGTGACCAGGGATTGATGATGTCACGCGCAAACTTATGGACCCCATAGCAGCCAAAGTAAGTACAATTTCGACTTTTTGTTAACATATCCATACTCAGGGAAGGGTTTTTGACACCTTAAAAAACTAAGAATTTTTTCCAGATAATTTATTTCCTGTGCACTGGGGGTGGGGTGTCATATTTGGAAGCCGAGCAGTTGAGGGGTTAATACTTTCCTGTTCAGATAAAGCATTTTAGTGTCATCGGTACTCAAACAGTAAATATCTGATGATGTTAAAATGCATCATCCTATTCATGAATGTTAATATTATCATTGCTGCGATGCATAATTATTATAAATTGGCTCAATTGTTGCATCTATTCATGATGCATAATAACACAGAAAGGTTGGACTGTGACAGTGTTAAGCTGAGCATGTGCAAGGCGTTGGGAAAAGTAGTGAAAAAATCTCTGGGACGGCACAATGTTGCCTCTGAGAGAATCAGTGATATATTTGTAGTAAAAGCATTAAAAACTAGAAGACCATTATAGGCACAGCTGAACAGAACCACCACAAAATTTCAGCAAGGAGACTCAAAAGCAACAGACTGCAACCCTCAGTGGAAAGGAGGAATTAAGTTTCACATCCCAACCAAGAAAAACAGTCTAACTCCAAAAGCAAAAGCATTGGTAAGCTATGGTAAAAACCCAGCATCGAGTGTAATGAAACACTTCTTTATTGGGTCTCCCTCAAACTATCTTGCCCGAAACGCTATGCGTATTAGTGGATTTAGGTATTGTATGTACTAGCTCTATCTATAAATCCAACATTATGTTTGTAAATCAACTATGTATGTACTTTTCCTGAATAAAGAATTTAATTTAATTTAATTAATGTAAAATTTAATTTAAACTTGCTGAGATTGCTTCATATAATTGGATCACATCAGACACGGGAGGTGGCTTCCCATGACATGGCTAGTTAGCCGATGCACTCAATGAAGGTGCAACCTGGAGTGTTTAACAAAATGCTCTACACCTCCATACTTGTAGAAACTACTGGTAGTAGCCACTATACAGCACCAAACATCAGTAACTTTCTAGTGTATCAAGTGGTAAAAACTCAATTAAGCAGGCCTCAATAAAAAAACTCATATGTTTTACCTTTCTGGATGACTTTCTAAGCTCCTCCTAACACCAGTAAAACTTCAGATACCATTTAATTCCTGGGTTGGAATATTATCCTGCCTGATATGCTAATTCTAGATAATAGCCTCAGTGGATCTTGCTGTAGGGGGTAATTTGTGGCACACACAAAGCTAAAGCAACCTCAACTTTTGCAGTACCCACCCACAAATGTCCTGTGTGGGGGGCAAGCCTTCCAGACCTAGATTAGTCTCATCCTCCATCTGACATGCAGCCACTGACCTTCGACCTGATATATTGAAGTCATGGTCATCTTCGCATCTGAAGGATGAACATCGAAATCAATCGAGTGAAAAAGTGTTGACTGTTGCATACTTACAAACAATATGACTGGTAGATTGACAGACCATTTTAAAACTTTTAATAGTCATTTTATATTTTTAAGGAACACTTTCATATTGCTTACTAAAATTTCATATGCTTGCTTGAAATTTTTATTTTTTTTTGTCCTAAAATGTTTGGGTTAATAGGATAAATTTGGGTCAGGGAAAATGTAATTATTACATTCTTTCTTGGGGTAGTGGAGGTAGGGACTCACCTAAGCTAATTACTGTAAGAGTATAATTTCAATAATTTTATCCAGACCGCAACATCACGACCATTCCCGCTGCTTAACTCGCTAATGACGATCGGAAACAATACTACAACACATTGTTGAGGATAGGCAACAGTGTATCTAGCCCAACTGCACGATCAGCAAGAATAACAACAAACACTACTATTAATGATGGTAAGTATGAAATAAGTTATATCACAGGTATAATCTTTACATGCCATTTGAGAGCAGCAATATCAGCAGACAAGTGATTGGTCCACCTTGGCCAGTTGGCTAGTGCAGGGGTTGTGCACTTTAATGTTTCACTGTCGATCATGACAGTTTTCCACTAGTCACCTTTTGAGAAATTTTCATTTCTCATCAGGGTCGGCTCTTTTGAAATCTGTGTCAGGCCTGGCAGTGCTATGGAACTTGATTGCCAAGCAAAATCAAATTACTAGTTAGCACATAGCATACAGCGGCCAGGATATGAAATGTTACATCTACTGTCAATAAATAGATCTAAAGTTTAACCCTTGCACTGCGCACCTTCTAACATAACATTCCAGTGGTGCACTGAAAATAAATTTTTCCAAAAACATTTTTTTTCTGGGGGAGCCTCTTTGGCTCCCCGGAGCTATCCAGGCTGATATGAATATCATTAGACTTTTGCATCAGTGTGAATGGAGTTCTAAGCCTACCGGGGAGCACGAGCTAGAACCTAACCACTTCAGAGAGGGACGAGAAGCAATGGCCTATAGAAATGCACATGTAATTTGGAGCATTCAATGTCTGCCATCGACCGGGCCAGGCACCCAGAAAGGTAAGCACCTCAAAACAAACTATACTGGTTAAAACAATGAAAATAGACAAATGAGTGGACAGAACTCCCCAACTGAAAACAAGCATACGAGTATGACATCACATGAGCTGTGCCGCATGTCTGCGCAGCTGGGGAGGGAGGAGCCCCAGACTCCCGCGCCAGCGATCTACACCCCCATTTCTTCGGCTGATGTGATTGTGCATGGTCGTGTGGCTCCAGCTCCAGACTCACTCTGTGTTGTGCTGTGTCTTGGGTCTGGTACTGCTCTTACAGTGGCGTGAGAGCTGGGAGTAATATTCACAGGTACTCGGGCTGCATGTGCTTAATTAGGGTCCCCTTCCCCGAGTGCCCTGTACGTACCACCCTTGGGGCTTGGGGTTATCTACCACAAGTCACCTTGGGGCTACTAATGTTGGTCTTTTGACGCTCGGTGATTGACCGCCCTGAGCGTGTTGAGGGTTTTCCTCCTTTACCTTGGGGTAAGTGGTAGTTTTTGCAGTGGTAGGGGCGAGGGAAACTGCACAGCTCATTTTCACCTATAACAGCGGCTGGCTCTGTTCCCCCTGGGTGCGTTGTCCTCTTGTGGGGGTTTTCTTTTCTTTTTGTTTAGGCCTGGTGGGGGTCTGCCCTTGTTTCCTTCCTCCAGTTATATTAGGATTTGGCCTGTGTTCGGTGGTGCCCTCTGCTTGGCCCCCGTGAGTGGACACGTCCCGGGGGTTCAACTTTAGAAGTTTGTTTAGTAGACTTGGGTGCCGGTTAGCAGTACCCTGACAGCTGAGTGGACAGCGCTTTGGATTCGTAGACCTGAGGTTCTGGGTTTGATCCCTGGTGGAAGCGGAAACAAATGGACAGAGTTTCTTTCATCCTGATGCCCCTGTTACCTAGCACTAAATAGGTACCTGGGAGCTAGACAGATGCTACCAACTGCTTCCTAGGGGTGTGTAACAAAAAGGAGGCCTGGTTGAGGCCCTGGTCGGGCCGCGGGGATGTTAAGCCCAATGGTATGGAGTGGGGTTCTCCTTCCCCCCTCTGCGTGCAAATTGGATTTGGGTTCAGCTCCTCCCCGAAATTATCTCAAGATAACCTCAAGATAACCCTGCCTGGGATTACCCTTAGCATTTCCAGTCTCGGGGCCCTGGGAAACCCTGGGAAATGCATGGGGTCAGATGGATGCAACCCCTGGGTCCCCTCTCACTTTGTGCGAGTTTAACGGTTGCTCTGTCCTCTTATTTCAGGGGGACGCTTATTGTTTTTGCCTCCGTCATGCTGCCTGTTGGGTCGGTGACACCTTTGACACTGAGTCCTGCAAGCATTGTTGCTTGTGACTCAATTCACCCAGTCTGATGATGATATTATTCGGGTGCAGGCGTCTCAGGCGTTGCATGCTAGGTATAGATTACTGCAATGTTTTAGGTTGGTTGCCTCCCTGGAAGCCCCTAGGCTGCCCTGCTTTGCTTATAGGGACCCGGACTTGGGGGTGTTGGTCCTTTCGGCCTTGGTTCAGTCCGCACTCCTTTGTCCTTCCCCCCTGCTGTGGTTCATTCTGCCCCCCCCCTTCCCCTGCTTTCGGCTCCTAAGTGTCTGAGGGCTTCGGGGTTGGGGTAGGATTTAAAGGTTTCCGAGATTCGGGCAGTTTCGGGGGTTGACCCTTCCAGGGGTGGCTACGGAGACATTCGAGTCCATTCCTCCAACCATAGCTCTGGGGTCTAACCAGTGTGCCCCCCCCACCCCTTACTAATTTTTTCTGTCGCTCCAGCTTTTTCTTGTAAGGCCAGGGCTTTGGAGGATGACTCTCCCCAGGGGCCTGATGTGGAGGTTCCTGGGGTTGGGGAGGAGCTGACTTGAGGGCCTTGGGCCCCATTGAACGCCGCCTGGGTTTTTCAACCCTCTGAGCGGGGCTTACTGTTACAAGGAGTAGGGTTTTCCTTCCCCCCCTCTGCGTACAAGTTGGATTTGGGTCTGGCTCCTCCCCAGATTCGGCTCAATATCCCTGTGGATCCTTCGGTTCCGTCCTTCCGAAGGTTTTCAGCTTCCCGCATCTCGTCTACTGAGGTGCGGGCGGCACCTCAGTAGGTGCTGACGTTTTGGCTTACCTCTTACGTGACCCAGATTATGCCTCTATAATGGATCTGTCTTCCTTCAGGTTTGGGTCATTGTCTCCATACTGGGTTCGTTGTGAGGTTCTGGAATCGTCCTGGCTAGCGGACTACCTTTTGTTGGCGCTGGATGCTTGGAGTGCTTTGTCATACCCACGCGCTTGAACGGTGCGAGGTGTTGACTGTGGTCCAGGTTTCCCTTGGGAGCGACTTTGAGCATCTTAATGAGTGCTTGTTCGCTCCTGCCGTTCTGCAAAATGTTGGCGCGTTTCGGCTTCACATACAGGTTCCCTCCCTGTAGGCTGTGCCTGTGGCTGAGAACTTGCTTGCTCATGGCTTGTTGCTTCGGTCTTGAGTTTCTTTTCCCTCCTGGAGCTGTCTTCAGATTGGCTTGCGGAGGATGTGGAGACAATTGGGGTCATTCCCGTGTCTGGTGCCTTAGTAACAGCTGCTCGGGCATCATCTGTGCTGCCTCAGTTGTTTGCGCCACTCCTGCGTGATGCGGTGTCACTGTTTTTCGTTGCGCGTCTTGTGTGTCGACAGGTTGTGCTCTCTTCCTCCTCGGAATCTGCTTGGGCCTTGGCTCTTAGGTTATCTTCGCCCTTTTGTCCCTTGCTGTTTGCGGACTCTGCAGTCGAGCAGTATATGCAGGCAGCGGCTTCCAGCTGTTGTCCGATGTCCGACTTGTTGGTTCTCAGGGGGTCTTGTGTGGCTTTCTTCCGGGAGGGTCATGCCAGGGCTCGGGGTTCCGTTAGTCGTGGTAGGCTACAGGTGCCAGTTTCGGCACTGGCACCGCCTTTGGAACTGTCTGTATCTGGTCGGCACGGTGATTGCTGTGTGCAGGTTGGGTTCTTGTAAAGGGCATCAGCCCTTTTGCTGTTCACCCCATTGACGGGGCGATTGGGGGGGGGGAGGCTTGCTCTGTTCGCTCATGCCTGTTCTCACGATCTGTGGGCTTTTCGGGTCGTTTCTTGCGGTCTTCGGTGGCGTTGGGTGGCTCCTCCTCCTCCTTCAAGAAAGGGGGTTCGGGGCTGGTGGGGCAGGCCTCTTCTCTTGCGCTGTTGGGTCGTCTTGGAGTGGGTGCGCTTGGGTGTGGTCGAAATGACGACGTCTCTCAGGTGGGTCTCCTGCCCGTTTCCAGTTCCAAAACGGGACTGTGCGGACCTGCGGTTCATTCTGAACATGTCCCGTCTGAACCCCTGGGTTTTTTGCCCCCCTCCTTTCGGATGACCACTTTGTCCCAGGTCCAACTTCTGTTTGAACCGAGCACTTGGATGGTGTCCCTAAATCTCCGGGATGTGTATTGGTACGTTCAGATATATCCAGAGTTCAGGAACTGGCTCGCTTTTGTTGTGGGGCATCTCGGTTACTGCTTTTGTTGTCTCCCGTTTGGGTTGATCCTGGCCCCCTCGCATTTTTATACGCCTTACCCGGGTCGTGGTGGCCCGTCTGCATCTCTTAGGGGTTCAGGTGCTGACCTACCTCGACGACTGGCTGGTCTGGGCTCCCAGCCAGTCCCCGTATGTGCTCGCCAGGGATTTGGCTCTTTCCCAGCTCACCAGGTTCAGGTTCCTGGTGAACTGACAAAAGTCCCATCTGGTTCCCTCTCGGGTTCGGACTTGGCTGGGTCTTGTGTGAGACTCTTGGACCGCTTCCTTCTCTTTCCCTCTGGAAAGACTGCTTGATCTACCTGCAAGGTCGGGTTTGGCTTTCTCGGCGTGGTCGAGGCATCTTCTGGTATATGTAGTGCCCTTCCCTGACTGCGAGGCTGTCGGGATCGATGCTTTTTGGCAGGATTGGTTGGGGTGGGGGTTACCTGTAACTTTTTTCCCTGGATCTGCTGTTACTCCAAGTCCTAGCTTACTTATACTTACCAGGGGATAGTAGTCCTCTTGGCTCCTTTGTGGCCAGCCCAGCCTTGGTTTCAAGCGCTGCTTGCTCAATGTCCGAACTCGGGGGTTTTCCCGCGGCTCCGCCTCTTTCAGATGATCGGCCCGGTCCATTACGTGGCTGGTTTGCTCTTTTCGAGTCTTCGCGTCTGGTATTTTTTACTCGGGTCAATCACCGTCTGTATGGTGATCGGGTACGGCTGTGCTGGTGCTGGGTACGGCTGTGCTGGTGCTGGGTACGGCTGTGCTGGTGCTGGATACGGCTGTGCTGGTGCTGGGTACGGCTGTGCTGGTGCTGGGTACGGCTGTGCTGGTGCTGGGTATGACTGTGCTGGTGCTGGGTACGGCTGTGCTCGTGCTGGATACGGCTGTGCTGGTGCTGGGTAC